GACACCCGGTTGCTCAGCAGCGATTAGTGTAGAGCAGCTTGATAGGAACCCATTGAAATCCAAATCTCATGAACAAAGTTCACATGTGAATGGGAAACAGTGTTTAAAGTTTGTGCGACTGTTAAGAGAAAGGTTAAAAAACAGGACTAGGGGAGAGGAGTCGTGTCTAAAGAATTGCGGGTTTGTGGCTAAAGGAATGCTGGCTAAGGTTAGAGGATTGTGGCTGTTGGCTGAAGCATGAATTACGCAATAGTTTGAGAAGTCTGTGGCAATTCACGATTTGAACCTTTCTCTTAACAGTCGCACAAGCTAAAGGAATGTGGGTTTTGGCTAAAGCTTGATGGGAAAAGGTGTAGACACCAAAAGAGCAACATGGTGGTTTATTATCGCGCGGCTCCATTACATCCTTATGTGATTTGCCACTCTACCTTACATACTTTATAGTTACAGGATTCACAATCTTTAACATAGTACATATGAAGGTGAATAAGCGAAAGGGAGGACTCACTATAAACATGACAACATTACCTGTGGTAAACCAGCCTCAATAGCTCGTTTACGAGCGTCCGGGTAAATGTACACTAGATTGTGCATAATCTCACATTGAGCGATCAGTTCATCCGTGAGCACGTTCCACTGCCGTACGGTCTGTTGTTTTTTCCGTTCAGATAGCAGACCGAGTGAGCGAGATCGAGCAGCACCGGAATCGATTATATTGGTTTCCATGGCAGCGGTTAGTCCACACAAATCGAGTTTTGCCTGTAACAGTTGTGTGCTTACCACCAATTCTTCTAAAATGCCATCTACAACAAGAAATAGAAAATAGGAATATAAGAATGGAGTTTACATGATGAATTCATCGTGTAAATGAGGCATGAGCCGAAAAGCTGGGAACCACGGGAGAGCTGTTTTGACCCAGATGGGTCCCATCAGCAGTGCGAATCCATCGACTCAAAGGGGGATCGAACCCGGGACCTCACGGGTAGAGCGCAAGCATAATACGCACACGGCCACCGGGCGGCTGATCAAACAGTTTCTTATTTTGAATTTACACGATATAGCACAACCCATTTATGCGAGCTTGTTGAGAGTATTGGTCCTCGCTCAGCTCAGCACTAATCTCCAGGGTTATGACTCGGTTGGAAACTTTCACAACCTGATTATTTGTTGCATGAGAATATTGGAGGATTTCATTTGTATATATAATGAAGAAGGAAGTTATTGACCACCGCCAATTAAATGATCTTCCTCAAAGGCACGCACATTCGTGCATAAAGAGAATAAGTTGTAAAAACATACAACAGAAAGAGGCGTTCAATAGCGGAGAGGTAAATAAACAGTTCGAGTGACGAGAGCAGACGTGAATCAACTACTTGACAAGTGCTCATAGGGTAGAATGCTGCAGTGATTGCGACAATTATAGGAGTATGAGAATAAACGCGTTAACTTCAAAGCTGTTAGCGCTCGTTACAGTTTGTAGGCAGGTACGAGAGAATAGTAGACCCAAGAGGAATAGACTCGAATTGGCGCCGATAGTGAATGCATCGATCAGAGATTCACCCTGCAACAGTTGCTGGAGCACTGCCATTCCTTCAAGAGATCCACAATCAGCATTGAAACTATGAGACGGAGGGTTCATAAACAGTTGTTATGCAGTAGTTTATACAAATCGACTCTGGCTACTTCACCACTGAAGTTGTGGAACCCGAGCAAAAGAAGTGAACACTCAAAATAACCACCTAAATAAGAATGACTTGATTTAGTCGACCGAGGAAATGCGAAATTAGCAAAGAAGAAAGCTTCCATAGATTACCTTCTAAAGCAACGGCTTTGGCAGATCGACAACAACCGAGCAGCGTTTGTAGCGCAGAGCGTAAAGAGCGTCGATAGGTTGTCAAGTGAACCGACTGCACCTCACATGTTTTATCCAGAAGCACGGAACTGGAAGAGACCAAGGTCATCAGACGTCGGGTCAAGCGGACGACAACATTGGGTTGTTTTTGTCGCGATGATGCATCCTTAACTAGCAAATTATGCTTCGAAGATGAGTCAGGTTCAACCAGTTGGAGAGCCTTCGCTTCTGGATGATGAAGCGCATCCAGTGCCTCAATAACCGGGTTCAATGACAATGGACGGTGATGCGATAGGACGACGATAAAGAAGTTCAGAGCTGAACGCGCTTGTTTACAGCACAGTTGACTGTGAGAGAAAAGGAAGTGGCATGAAGCTAAGCGGAATGAATACAGCATTTCAGATTTGATATTAGTGCAGTGCATATACAAAAGTCCAGAGATATTTAAACAATGGAACATATGTATCACAATTTCACGGGGTATTAGCGAAAAACATTTCCTCATCGTAATTCAACACCGAACCTTTGGTTGTTGCGAATGACCTGACCACAGCTTTTTCAGGATCTGGGAGGAACCGGTGTGTTAAATGCGAACCAGAAACCGGTATACTGAATCATTATATTTGTGAAAATTGAAAAAAAAGTTAGGAATCAGATACTTTATGTATTTATTTGCATGAGGAAGCGACAGAGGAACTAATTGAAACAACATTGGTTCAAAGTCACACATTTACAATGCTCGATGGAAAATTAGGTGGGTTTCAGACATGGTCTGCACCGCATGGATCATTCACTTATTGAGCATAAAATTCTAGACAATGAGTTCCTCTATAACCAGCTAACGGTTCAGACTGCCGCATCGTGCAGCGATGCGGTGTATCATATGAAGTAAGTTAATTTTCCTAGAACATTTACGGAACAGGAGCACCTAAAGCCGATTATCTTTATGACTGTTTTCACTTCAGGTCATCAAGAAAAGTGAAGCTCATCAAGACTGTGTCTTCCCATTTTTCTTTGCAACTTCGGAGCCGTAATTCTGTCCTAGTGTGAGAACAGCGATGTCGATGCGTAACTTGATGCCCTGCTGTCCAGTACAGAGTAAACAACCAGTATACTGTTGACGGGAGATCCAAGTGATAAGTTTTAATGATTACCTTAAATGGTAGTGTCGATGGACTTCGCACGCTTGAAGTATGAAATGGCACTTATTTGTAATTTCCAATTCTGACAACTACATCTTTTCCTTATACTCTGTACCCCAACCNNNCCCCCCCCCCCCACTCACCCTCGTTGCTGTTAATATTGTTATGGAGTCGGCACCAAGCTTGTTCTCAAGTCGGTGTTAAATATATATATTGAGAAATTGGAAAACTCCATCAGCCGTTCCATGGATGGACGCCTTGCCCATAACTACAGATTGAACATGATTGTCGAAAGGACTCACCTAGAGTTTCGCACATGCGACCACCTGGACTGGTCTGCATTTAGTCGCATTTCGGCTCGATCAATCAATGCAAGGAGGATTTCTAACCAGCAATCCACACGCGTTGAAAGCGGTTGCAAAATAAGTCGAACATTCAGATCCCCACTGGCATCGCTGGGATCTGATCCGAGAAGTAGACAGGTGATTAGAGCAAACATTTCATGCCACATCGGAGCCCACACTTCCAAATGATCTGTAAGCATGAGCGATAAAGCATTATCATTAATCACTGACCTAATCACTGCCTAAAAAGAAACCATAATCGGACTACCAATTTAAAAACAATGCAGAAATGAGCATTGTTTTGCACTAAACGCATTGAAAATACTTAGTTCACTGGTGTCCAGGAGCGAAAAAATGTTACAATAAACAAGTTTTGATTTTAGGGTCATATATTCTCAATAGCGTTGCTAACACAATTCCCAGAAGTCACATTTAGGAAGAGTACTCCGTTACTGGCCTCCGGAAGGCTCAGTAAGATTGGGTGTGGAAATGTTGAGTTTTGACCTTCCATGTACCTGACAAAATACTCTTAAACATCCGGGGGTCTTAAATAGCCTTTGTTGCGAGAGACTCATTCACTGTGGCCAAAAGAGCGTGCGAGTTCGTCACAGAAGATAACTACATCGTAACCACTTTTTCGAGATTAATTTATAAGCACTAACCATTACGCTTTGAACCGGGATTAAGTTTAGAAACCTAAATGAAATAGAAAATTCACATAGACATAATATGCTCGACTGAGTTCCGCTACAGGAGGACACACGAGAGAGAGATAGTGAGACCGACTTAACATTCGATGAATCCAACAAAGTTATTTATCTAGCTTCGCCCTGATCGGTTCTATCCGCGGATCAAAAACGATCTGCATGACCAATTTTACTAGGGCTGATGAATGAGCTGTCGATCGAGATTAAAGAGAGACCCGGAATTGACTGTCCACGAAGACTTACATTTTGTGCGTTTTTGTGTTCATAGTAAAGTTCGCTAAAAAGAAGTGCGCGTGGCGCCGGCAAAAACAGTAAAGAACTCAAGATCGCAGGAAAAGGCTTTATTTTGAAGTTATTTCCAAGTCCAAACGATTCGATGGCTGAGGTGTCAAAAATCCTAATGAACTAAAAGCACAGAGAGAAGAAATGAGAGGAATGACAAAAACAAACGCTAGACAAAGTGGCTTACTGTAATTTTTTACACTTCGTATGAGGCGGACCAGGAAAAGAGCATCCGATTTCAGAGCTGAACGAGTTGCCAAATGCATTGCCGCTTGGCAGCGTAACACACGCAGGCAACTAGCAAAACACTGCACCAAATGCTTATGACCAACAAACCACGGGCTTTGTCTGCCCAGCGGTGTAGACGGAGAACAGGTAGAAGGAGAAAATGACGAATCACCGCCACCAGACGTTTGCAAACCGCACACGACAACCTCTAACAGGTCTGAGCGAGAGAACGAAAGTATAATTGTGCTAAAAATTAGTGCGCATAAAAACGGACGCATAAGCACATGAAAAAGTTAGGCATTGGAGATAATGGGTATAGCTAATCAGGCTATCTGAGACAATAGGATAAAGAAAATTAGCTCAAGATATTTGAAGGACTAATAAGCATGCAAGTTACTCCTAAATAATAAAAGCTTGTCACTTTAATCGCAGCGAAAAAGCAGGAGTGTTTTTAATTCAATAGGCTTCGATCTGATGGAAATCTCTTGTTGATATCGTCTTGTTTTACTTTTGACACACCGGATCCTCTTTATCTATTACATCAAGACACAAAGATATTAACACGTCATTTAATCTCCTCATTTACTGACACATGCACAGTAAATTGGGTTGATAAATCCTAGTGAACAGAAACACAGGGGGTACTGAATTAGAAATTCAACTCAACGGTAAATGAACTGATAGCATCAATAACTTTCGGGCGCAAAAAACCAGCCGATGTAGTGGGAATATTAACGCTTCATTCATTGCCGAAAAAAAAATCGAATTGCGGTTATGCAATACAAGTTTGAAAGAGGAGACGGAATTAATTATGTACTTGTTTTACGTACGTACTTTGCAACAAACGATCCTGGCTTCCTTGCAACCACCTAACCATTGATACAATCAGTTCACCTGTAGTGTAGACTTTCTGCTTCTGATTCAATAGCNNNNTCAATAGCTTCTTGTCTGACTGTACGCGCACGTTCACAAGGATTTACCGACTAAATGTACCTCTTTGTTTAACGTCAGCGATTGAGGAGAGTAGACAAAATGTTAACACATCGCGACACGTGTCCTTATATTTTCTAAAGAATGAACGGTTGCATCACGGAACCACCGAGCATCAAATATCAGAACAGCTTGTTTAGGGTTCTTTAACGAATGCTTAGAAATGTGAATTGGCACTGGTGAAGTGAGCGTAAAATCGAAATCAAGTAATCATGGAACGCTTCTCTTTTTTCTAAAGATTATTGTACCATGATTTGCCTGGCACGCAGTCTCTCCTCAGACAAGTGTGAAATATAATAATGTGGATAAAGAATAATCAATAAATTATTTAAAATATTTTAGAAGACGATTTCTAAAAATGTTTCTTTTTAATTTCAAGAACCGACACTGAACACAATACCGGAGATACTTACCTATCAGAATACAGTTGACACTTTATCGTCCGTTAGATTCCACACGAATATTCGACCGACAATAATGAAATATTAAACATGCCCTGTACATCTACAAAACACAGCATTATCTCTAATCATGTTCTTTCTTTTGTCAACCCCAGCCATCGAATACACGATTCCGATTTCGACTAGCCCGTGTAATCAGCCTGTTCACTCTTCCCACTTTATTTCCGTATTCGGGAACAAAAGAAGCTAGTGACACAGTTCCCAACGGTGGAAGTAATGATACCGTTCATCGTCGAATCCACCATGCGATGTACTTGAAAATCAGTAGAACCTTTTCATTTGACCTGACAACCGGTGAAGGGGAGCAGAGTGTTTCATTGATATTTCATTCTTCAATAGGTATAAACACAGCTTTTATGGTGAGTGAATTACGGGTACGCAAAAAAAACGAGGACAGAAATTACTTGGATCCACCACATTCATCAGCAAGGCATGAATTCGAAGACGTATGAGCTCGGCCGGAACAAATTTCGGTAAGTGATGAAGCAGATTGACTAACAACTGGCACACGGCACCGGCAAGTAAGGGGGTGCATATGACGTTTGGATTAGAGTTTGTGCTTGCCACCTGAGTCCCGGAACCAGCAATTTGACGATTCGACTGTTCGGTGGCGAGACCGCCTACACGAAGTTCACTGTCAACTGAATCCTGATCGAAAAGACATATGAATACTTCAGATATGGGATTATAGTAAAAATTCGCTCTGCTTTAGGGTTTTGAAAACGGGTGACTACACAAAACGTAGATGGCGACAACTGGAAGAATTGACAAAGTAATGAAATAGTAAACGATTTGATACTCCGCACGATAAACATCGAATAATAGCTCCAGATGACGTGCGTTCCAATCACACCACCACTGCCGCCTGATTTCCCCCATGCTGGCAGCCCACTGATTGGCCTCTTTCTACTTCTTGAAAATTGTATCTTACGTATTTGATATAAGAAAAAGAAACGAAAAAAGATATCCGCGTAAACTGCAAAAAATATTTGATGCGGAGTAATATTTTTAAAAGTCAGCATCGTGCAGCGAAATACAACGAAGCGAACTTCACGAATCGCTGCTACAGTCTATAGCCAATATACGGTCTGACTATCCGTTCCGGCCGTATGAGAGGTGCCAACAATGCTACTGCCGTCGGTTCGCTGTCATGTCATTCAACATCTCCAATCAGTCAAATGCATGGTCTTTTGTCTAATCGCTCTATTAACTCTTTTTGGGAGTCTTCTCTAAGTCACCTGATGGTTTGAAAAAAGCCATTCCGTGCAGCCCCTGATAAGCAAGCCATCAAGCCAGGACTGGACGCAGTCTCTTCATGATAGATGAAAACAATATACATAGAACTCCGAGTTTCATCAGAGTAATGCCTTAGTAGAATCGGAAAGAACACGTACCGGGAAATCGGTTAATGTGCGGGAGGAACTGACAGTTAATCCATACCACCGGATCGGATCGAACAGGGGTTGAGGTAAATACGTGCCGAGTAACTGATGCAAATAGTCGAGCACATGGAGACTAATGAGCAATTGTTGCAGTGCCGGTAGTCCCAGTAAATAGAACTAAAATGAACCGGGTGGTAAAGAAAGAGTGTATTAAATGGCCACACACGAAATAGGGAAAGATGCATATATACACATAAGAACATAGAAATACTGAAACGTATTTCGCTGTTGAGTTCAAAAATAAGATAATAGAAATTATGGTTTGTTATGATTATCTCTCTGAACTATTTACCGACAGATGATTGGAGTTTCCTCGCCAGCGAGAAGGAAAGATAAACATTTATTTATAAGAAAATCAAACTGATACCATGTACAGGTCTATTCCAAACTGAAGCAACGGGTCCCTGTGGAACACTTGTGAGTTTGTATAGGCAACAGCACTTATACTAGAGTAAATCTTTTCCAAATTATAATAAACAGGCCTTGGCGAGTCTTTATAGCGTTGATTTTCCTGATTCGTTTATACTCAGCAGATGGAATGGTTCAGAATGTAGCGGATACTCCAATTTCGTCAGTAGTGGTTGACCTAGACCATGATGAGTTAACCGCGTGAATGCAACATTTAATCTCATTAATTACATGCACACGCTAAATTGAGTGGCGCTAATGGTCTTGTGGTACCAGATACCATGAGCGTGGTCCCTTGACAAGAACTTGAACTTCCACAAAAATGGCACTCACGCAAACACGCGGCAACTTACACCGCCATCTGAGTTGAAAAAGCACGGTAGAAGGGTGTTACGGGGAACTGAGGACATGTGGAACAGTAATGCAGAACGTGCCACCTGATCCGGATCCAAAATACCTTCCCGCTCCACCCCCACATTGTCTGCAACCAAGTCCCAATTGGTATTAGGTGGTTGTTCTCCGTTTTCCCTTTCAATTTGTGCAGCCGGGAATAGTTCATTGAACCAAGGCTGTAAATACTGAATGAGCTCGGCGAAATTATTGCGTATTTCACTCGATTCCAAATCGGAGTTGAATAACAAGCGCAGGTCGATTGTGCTACTATCGTCATTGTCATCATTAGTAGTTGCGGTGGGTCGATCACCAGCCGACATGCGATCACAAACGCTCGATGTTTCATCAGATGCATCTCTGCCTGTTGTTGTTTCGGTACTGTCGTCCGGATCCTCTCTTTCATTCGACTGTAACCTTCTGGCAGCTTGGGTTGATAATTCAGCCACAGTTGAATTTATACTACCTCTCGCAAGAGATCGTCTCAGAGTCTCGGACACAGACGGTCGTAATCCATTAGGCTGTTCGGTTTGATTTGCCGAAGGCGGTAGAAATATACCGGAGTGACGCGGATTCATTGGCAGGGCGGTTAAATTCAGAAGCAGGTGAACCGCCTGTACCCGGATCACACAAGACTCGTTCACATCGAGCAGATGAGACAGAGCTATATCCCACAGTTTCCCGACTGAAGAGGACATGGGCCGATTGTGTGTGGTCAATAATGTCTGGGTTTCCAGACTAGGAGGATGTGCGTTGAAACGTCGTGCCCAGGTCGGAATTCGACACAATTGCCCGAGAATGCACAGTGTGAGTGCGCGTAGCTGAAAAATAGGAAATGAGGACAAAAATGTCCGACATAAAATAAGACGAATACTAAAATCAAAGTTTTATTATGGGCGATTTAACAAAGATAACGGTTATGGCACCCCGTAGGAATTTTACAGAATGTTTTGGACAAATTTAGAAATAGAAAATAATAATAATATGCATTATAGCTCACAGATGTTGAAATGCTAAGTGTTTTAATGCAGTATGAAGCTGCAATTTGAATAATTCAACTGTAGGATAGAACATGGGACAGAAGCGGATTCCATAAACCGCACACTGACTACAAACGTGTGATATCAGCTATCTCGGCCACTGTTTTGGGCTATCGACTTCAACGGATATCCATTGAGATGACTGTTTTGAGATAACGTCAGCACAGAACGGCAAGGATGGTTGGGTTGATGAGATATGAGGTATGTCAAGATTAGGTCGCCCGAGGTCGAAGGTAATGCGACGAGGAAAGCCATAACATTTGCAGTCCTTTGGATTATGTCTTGTTATACAGGTCTTTTACCATTTTTCGCAAACGTTTGCGAACGTTCTAGGGCCTTGTATTCGCAGTTCAACTAGGGATTCCAAAATTGGACATAGTAGAACTCTGATACTTGGTGTGGGAACGGTACTGTTTCAAAAAACCTGAAAGCACATTTAAACAAATCAACTTGCTTCAGAAAAATGGATGATGTTCCGGTAAAATGGATGGGATATCCCACGCTACCTTCTATCATAACTACAAACTACTTTTCATCAGTGGCATGCGATAGAGAATCTGATTCCACAGAAAATGGGAGGAACGAGTCTTGCAATACAGGTAATTACGTTCGGCTGTCGCAAAGCAGTATATAAACGAATTTCGGTCTTGCAGTAAAATGAACAAAAAAATCGATGAACAGAGAATCAGAACGGTAAAAGTGACCTGAAACAGCCCCTCTCTCTATAGCTATTCTCAAACACAAAATGAAAAACGGTGCGGTCGTCTTACCGGTGATCAAGTTGGCGTGCGCTTGGGTTGTATCTGTAATGCTTCAGCTTCGGACCTTAGTTGGGTAGATAGATGCGCATTCCTGATCAGACCCGAACAGACAGAAACAGGTCTACACTGCGACTGCTCCACTGTTTCACTCTGTCTTGTCCCTCACCCGTGACCTCGAACAAGTAAGTTCCCTCTGACCCTCTCTGCAATCTGATTGGATCAGTTTCCGTGATTTGCGGCACTTGGAGTCCCGCGCCCTAACACGAGACTGTCTGATTACCGGTTTGTACTTTTCGTAATGTTCTTGTTGTCACGTCCAGTCCATCCGTGTGCTGATGGCACTCATGCTGTACAGTCGAAGTTCACTGGGTCTGTAAAGAAGGATTAGCTGGGAAAGCACCGGTTCCCTTGTTGCGGCTGAACCACCTGATTGATCGATAAATGAGCCCGATCGGTCGTATGATTTGCGAGTCGGCATCGGAGGAGGATAAGTCCTGGATCCGATGCTACTTAAGTGTGTAGAGAATCACCGTAGGTGAATCAGTTGTGGATCGATGCGCCACGTGGGAAGATTCGAACGGAAAAAGCTCAATCGATAATGATACCAGAGCAATACTTAACTCGTTTAAGATACACGCACTATTTTTCCATTTGTCTAAGCGGGTTCAGTGAACGGTGAACGATCGTCGATCGACAGATGATGACTAGGGGGTTAGCCATAATAACAACCAATAATGTTTGTCTCATCACAATAAATTACCGTTATCCCGAGGTAGAAGAAAAACACTCAACATGTTGCAGTATTTGGTGCTCAAAGTAAAACAAAACAATTTTCGTCCCTTCAAAAAGGCTCACCTACAAGATCTTCGTGCCAATGATTCTGAGCGCCATTTTTCATGTGAACGGAAATGTTATATACTCCGTTCGTTGTTTCGATGGAAACCCAAGACCCCTTGTTGGCTTAAAGTCGCTTCATAGTCCCAATGTGTTATTGTCGGCTAGTGTTAAGTACAAGATGGTCGGACGGTACTTTTTCAAGTTTCGTTCCAACACGACGGTGTACCGTCGCACAATACTCTGGTGATGAGAAATTTTCTCCATTTCGAATTCAACTGCAGATGGATTGGCCGAGGAGGACCAAAGGAATGGCCTCCAAAGTCACCCGATCTGTCCCCCTTGGATTTCTTTCTGTGAGGATATCTGAAGCGAACCGTTTACTCCCGAAAACCGAGGACGATCGAGGAGATAAAACAGAGTATCGTCGCGCAGTACGAAAGTATTCCAATTGCTACTATCCTGAAGGTGGAAGAAAACTTTCTTCGCCGTATTTTCCTACGCAAACAGCAGAATAGAGAACATGTTGAACAACTTTTATAAAATAAAAATGCATTTTTCCATAATGTTTGTTCTCTACTTCGGAGTTCAATCTCCGACGTAGTGAACAAGATCGTTCAAAGCGAAAACAGCCAGTTGCGAAAACATTGGGCCTACATTAGAAAATATTATTGTCCGTTATCAAGACAAGTACAAAGTTTTATTACGAATATCCGTTTATCGAACGCGCTTAGACAAATGGAAAAATAGTGCGTGTATCTTAAACGAGTCAAGCATTGTTCTGGTATCATCGTCGATTGAGCTTTATCCATTCGAATCTTCCCACGTGGCGCATCGCTCAACAACTGATTCTGCTGTGGCGATTCTCTACCAACACTTAAGTAGCATCGGATCTAGGACTTATCCTCTTCCTGTCTCCAAAAGTCTCAGTATGGTCGGAGGTGGGTGTCTAGGGTTGCGGCTGGTCACCATTCCGTTGAACTTCGTGAAATGCTCTTATATGACCAAGCGTCTCAAATAGCCTCTGTTGAGGAAGCTCTACTCACTGCCTTCTTGTGACGGAGGTGTTATCCCACCAAATTCAGAGGACGAAAAGCCAACATCCGGAGCTATAACCGTACAAACCACACCCAATCTTTTCGGTTGTGGAAATGGTCACCGGCCCAATTGGGCATTGAGGTGTATTGGGCACCTTGGACGTTTGACCCCGTCCGAAGGGCGTAT